AAACCTTAATGTAGGTATATTTAGGTTAGAGTGTGAATACAGCAAAATTTTAAGCACTTTTTACCGGATTCCGCTAATGTAAAGATTTACCTAAGTACGTTTGATTTACAATAGTTTTAATGGCTATTTTATAGAGAAAACGTCAACGCTCACATAATTGGGAAGAGACAGAAAAATGTATTTTTTTAGATTTAATTTGTGAGGAAATAAAAATTATTGAAAATAAAAAGAAACTTACCGTATTAAATAGAGACAAACATGCTGCATGGGAACGTATATAATGTAAAATGAATGTCCAAGGTGAGTGATATTTATTAATGAAGAAGAAAAAAATAATCATGTACATTTATTAGGTTATACCAGAGACATTCAGAGGATGAAGGAGCAATGGCAAAGAATGAAAGTGCAAAGCAAAGACGGCAATACGACGGCATGAAAAAAGTATGTGTCAAACAGGTGGTGGGCCTCCCGAGCCCAAACCGAGTGATATAGATTATAAAATAAAAGACCTCCTTCCACATGAATTTACTGATGATTACTCTACATTTGATAGTGATAGTTCTGTAAAAGTATGTATGTCATAATTCTATTAGTTCTTATTAAAATACTTCTACTAACATTTTAGAATCATATAACTGCAGAAACAAATTTTATTGGAATAGAAGAAAATGTGGAGATAGATTTGATAAATAATGAGACGAAAGATGGGGACTTTATTGTTAATCCTGAAACTGGTTGTTTGGAAGATATATATGAAGAAACCATAGTCGTATCAAATCAAATCAAAGAGACCAAGTTTTTGAAAAATAGCCTTGGTGAGCCAAGTACACCTAGTAAACACGCAAAAGCAAAGCCAATGACAGAATATGAAAACCAATTGTTAGCTTTAAACAAATTAAGAATAGAACAGATGATGAAACAATCTGCAGAGATGCACAAGGTGAAAATGGAAAACGAGAGGAAGTATCACCAGGAACGGTTGCGAATGCTACAGATAAATGAATGCAGATGCAATAGAGAAAATTAATATTTATAATTACTGTTAATAAATATATAAAACTCTGATATATAATAATAAACTGTTTTGTTGTATTTATTTTCAATAAATATACATTTTCAAATATTTCAAAATGTTTAACTATTAATTACAATAACGTTGAATATATTGTCTCCTAAATATATTTCCTTGAGCATTATCTTCTACTTCTACTCCCTGTTATTTTCAAAATTACCTAATAATTCTTCCTCTACTAATTGTATGACAAACCGAGCAGTTTCTTTCCTCATTCTGTACCTGTTTTAAAATGCATATCATATTTAACAAAAGGATTTTGTCTTGGCAAGTAAACTTTTGGATGTCTATTTATTATATTGGCTTCTTCAGCTTCATTCCCTTCTTCATTCACATCCAGTAATCCTAAATCTTTCATAATAACAAGAACAAGTTGAAATTGTACAAAGCATAAATTTGATATGATGCACGTATGTCACGTCAAGTTAAAGTGAGGTTAAAATACATAAAAATATTTCCAAGTAGGTCGAATGAACCACGGAATCCGTAAATATGCCGCATTGCCAAATGTTTCTGTCATTGAAAACGTAATTAACAAGTAACTACTAAAATTTCAACTATGAATACGAACTGCTTAATAGCTTCTTAGTAGTTATTAAGTAATAGATTGTTAGTATTATACTAAGTAGGTCTTTATGAATAAGGCTAACTAAGATTAATGTTAACATTCATATTCGAGCTACATTACTGTCAATAAAATCTTCAAAACCATAAAAGGCATTTTATATTAAGTATTTTTTATCCTTGATTTAAAATTATTTTCATTAAAATTTTGAATTTGGTGAGGTATTACGTTAAAAAATTTGGTAGCCCTATAATTAGTACCGACCCGCGTTTTACTAAGTCTTAGGAATTTATTACACAAGTATGTGCTCTTTCGTTTATTATAAGAGTGAGTCTCACTTCTGATTTCAAAGTTATGTATATGTTTTTTGACATAAATAAGACATATGTATGTTTTGATATCTTGGACCAAACATAATTAACATGTTGATCACATGTCAGTTTAGGGTCAAGATGGACTCCCAACAATTTTACACGTGTTGGATTATCCCAGTTTTCCATATTCCGGAGACTAACAATCATTGTTTCGATCTTCGAAGTATTAAACTGAGTTGATTACTAGTAAACCAGTTTTCTACCGGTACCGATGCATGTTGGTTATAAGTTGACGTCATTAACTGTTCAAAGTTTAAGTTGGTTCTAGTTATATTGGTATCATCAGCAAAGATTATACTTTTAGTATCATGAGGTAAACAATTAGGAAAAGCATTAATATATATCAGAAACAGTAACGGACCCAATATGGAGCCTTGTGAAACTCCATGTTCAATATTTTTTATGGATGATTTCACATTATACAGGGATGGCCAGAAGTACGGAATAAAATTCATATCTTTTGAATGAGTAAATTTTTTTAAAACGCCAAAACACGTTAACTGATTTTGATTTTTCCCATATTTCGGTTATATAATAATTCATTTTTCTTCAACCCCCTAACTCCCAGCTACCCCTACTTTTTTTTTCAAGATCTAAAAATTGACTAGCAACGTATTTCCCTACTTCAAAACTATTGTTTATTGTGGATGTTAGACAATCTATCGCTAGTGTGGTCGATAGATTACTTCCAAAACCGAATTATTGAGGATTGAAGAGTCCCTGAGTCTCAAAATAATTAGTTATTTGTATTTTTAAGATAGTTTCGCATATTTTAGCTAGATGAGGTATTACAGAGATAGGTCTGAAATTAGAGGGATTATTAATATCATTATTTTTATAAATAGGAACAACCTTAGAAATTTTTAAATATTGGGGGAAAATACTTTTATGTATACAATAATTAATTAAATCAGTGCAAGGTATTAATATTGGGTCGATTGATTTTAAATTTTTTGTTGAAATATATACATTCAAACAAGGTTTGCTCTCAAAACTCTTAACAATATCAATGACTTCCCAAGGGGTCACTTCAGAAAAGGAAAAACTATTCACTGGACGGAGTAATTGGAGGCAGCTATTTAAATTGGTGTTATTAACGGGTAAATTGCTTATAACATTAATAGCAACATTTATAAAATAGTTATCGGGTGTCAAGTTACTTAAATTATTTGAGTAACTCATTTCAGTATTATTAACTAAATTCCAAATTGCTTTTTGGGAATTTGTATGCGTTTTTATAAAATTATCGTTAGCCATTTTCTTAGCTTTAGAAATTTCAAACCGGTATCTAAATAATTTAAGATTAGATTTATTATAATCTGATGGATTTCCGCGACACGTCGATTTTGGATTTTGAAACAGTTTGAAATGATATCCTGCAACGTAAAAATTTCATCCATAAATTCACCCCTTCGAGTTGCAAAGCTTAAATTTTTTAATTTGAGTAGGGGCTTGTGATACCTCATTTGAAAGGTCTCCTTATTCTCTATTGCTATGGTTTTTTTAGTTATCTTCTATGTTGGTAAATTTGCTACAGTTTCTTCTAGGTTTGTGGCGTAACCACTTAAGTCAAAATAATCGATTCCACTTACCGACAGCATCCAACAAAATGTCTTCATCTTGGTCGAGGTTCACGAATCCTTGGACGTTCAGGACACTCTTTGATCTGTCGAAAAGGCAACTTCCTTGCACAGCGTTGTATGGGTAGTCGCTTTCTGTTTCGATTCCGTTGTCTCTGATGTAGTCGAAACCGGCTTGAATCCATCCTCCGTTACATCCTGAGTTGATGGTGGAGCAGTCGACCAAATTTTGTTCGCTGAGGCTCACCAGGCTGCCGGTCTTGATGAAATGACCTCCTTCGACGGCACCAGTCTAGATACAAATAATATGTGGTGCTACACTTATAATAATATTGGGATTTTCAGTTTGAGTTAGAAAATACTTCATGTTAATTTGATTACTTTCAACGATAGCAACAGATATGAACACGTACAAGAATTTAAAGAATAAAAGCACACATTTAGTGGACTAGATATTTAATATTCTCTTTTCTAGAATGACAGTGATGTAATAGTTTAAATTATATACAGCACGGGCTTCAGTAAAGTCCTTAAACTTGAACAAAGTGTGCTCGAAACTTCTTTACAGCTGCTAACGCGAACTGGCAGATAACAACAAGGCAAGACTGTGTCGGATGCCAGGATATTTAAAGAAATGTAAAATCCAGGATCAGAGTACGCAAGCTTTCGGAAGACAGGCGCAAAATGGACATTGTAAATATCTGGACTCAAAACTAAGATGCATAAAAGAGAAGAAATGTTGAAAATATATAAAATCAGACATAGAGAGAGAGCAGTACTTTTAATTTAGCTGGCTCCACCTCCTTGATTAATCTTTGTCTTATGAATCGACCCACAGGCTAAGGAAATAATACTTACAGTGCTGAATGCCCAACAAGAACCGCACGATCCTTGACTCTTGACTTCGGTGACGGCTCCCTTGGAAACCCAGTCCATCTCTGAGGGAGCTCCGAGACCGGTGTTTTTGTGCCAAACGATGGGTTCTTTCTGAACAGGTTTCTGAGAAGCGCTGTAGTTCAACATAGCCTTGAATTCTTCTGGGGTTTTGTCTGTGAATTGGTTGATGCCCATGTAGTATAACGACTCTCCATTTTGATATTTCTGGTTATGTGCCTCGATGATGCGCAAGTTGCTTTCGAAAACGGTGTATCGGTGTTGTTCTTCCCTCAGGTTTCTGTAGTCCCGTCCAAATTTTTCCTAGAAATATTGACAATATAGTAACCGAAAGCAGTGATATAGATGTCTCTTTCGTTTTATACGTACCTTGAATTCCTGCCACAACTGTTGGTCGGCGTTAATTGCCAAAACCAAGGCAGCGAGAACAACCAAGAACCTCATTTTGCTTTTTCTGGAAAAAATTATCGATATTCAATCATTTATTAACCTTAAAATTATAACGATGTCAATATTTTAAACATTTCCAAAATTATTTCTGCCAAGATCTATTAAAATAATAAAAGTTACTTACCTTTCGAACAACAAAAATAAGTACTAAAGAGGTATCCCAATATATCCCTTATATACTTGTATTACAGCTTATATCTCTACGATCTACAATCGAGTGATATAAGCGTAGCTTAATGATTATCAATAAAAACATTTGTCTGTGGAAGATATTATCTCTGTTTCAAGGATCGGGCATCTAGAAAACGATAGCTATGCCACATGTCATCTATCCGTTAAAGAGCATTTTTTATAAGCACTTTTATAAAAAATAAACATTACGTACAAATTGTGGAGTGTTACCTCTCAATGTTATTTGTCCGGTGATTAAGTATTTTTAAATCTCCTGACGTAAGGCATTTTATTATAATGCAGGTATGTTGAATAACTTCGCATATATTTTATACAAATTCGCATTTTTGTTCATGTTCTATTACATATTTCTTAGATTCTATACTAGTTTTGGTTTTCTGTGTATTTCAAAATAATACATAAAAGAACAAATCAATCAAAAATTTTAATTTTACGATTCATTTGTAGCCTAATTTCTTTTGTAATTTTTTCGAAAAAGCTGTCAGGAAAGTTGCTAAAAAGTCATTTTCTTTTTTAACGAAATTTTTAAGATTTGTCCTCAAGACCTGAAAAACTCAGTGGCGTATCATTTTTTTCCTCAATAAATACACTGATATATTAGGTAACGCTCGTGACAATCCAAATCCAATATACAACAAACAAATTACTTGAATAAAAGTTGGAAAAGGTAAAATGTATATTCCCTTACGAGAAAATTGATGTGATTTATTTGATTCTATCACTATGTCGAATGTAACTGAAAACAATTTCAGTTAAAAGTTTAATTAAATATCACTGATTTTTAGAAAATTACCCACAAATTTCTGTTTTAAGAAAATTTTCTTTGATGTCATAAAAATAACGAGTGTATAAAAACGATAAAGTAACAAAATAGTTGTCAAAGTGCTTCTTGAAGAAAAACATTTTTTCCGTACAATTTCGTATCACACGATAAAACCTACTATGACAATCGATATTTACGGTAATGTAACAGATAATAAACAGTTTTAAGACGCATTTTACTTGATTACAATAAAACAATTTTCAGAACATCGCAGTCTGATATAATTTATAATCCAGACATGAATTACATGACAGCGTAAGTTCCGACGTATTTGATAGGTACCACATTAGTTCCTGTATCTTAAAGTACCATTTTCTCCTCAATCAACATCCCATGAGTTCTTAATTCGAGTATTACATGGTTCAATTCGGTTGGCATCCATCAATCGTCAACGAATATTCCTCCAGAAAAGTTCTGGAAGTTTCAGCGTTGATTGATGCGGGGATGGGTCTAACATTTGCTGTGAGGAAAATGAAGATATCAATACTGCCGTAAAATCCAAGTAAACTATTTTAGACCTATCAATACCTTTTCAAATATTTAAAAATATAGTTAAAATTATAAGAAAGAGGCAATGAATGTTTGAGACAGGAAAACTTATTTGTTAATAAACAATTCGGTTTCAAAGAATGGTCTAAATGGAAATATGTAATGTCAATTTATTTAATAACAGCTTTAGTCATAGATAGATAAAAATTGCTAAAGAAATTAAAATATTATTGAGTTTTGAGTATTGTTTTTAAATTGCAGATATAATTTTAATAATATTGGTTTGCATCCAATTCAGTATTTTGGGTCTTATTCTGTTCATTATCTATTAGAGTAATAGTCACCTCAAAGAATATAGGTAATTCTTTGATAGAGATAAGTTCTGGCGTTCCACAAGTAGGTATCTGCCCTCGAGCTTTTACTATTTTTTTTTGTTTGTGAGTGATATAATCACCTATAATTCACTGATAATGTATGTCGATAATAATAGTCTACTGTATGCCAACAAATACATATTTAAATGAGACAATCAATGCCGCCCCAGTTATTACTAAATAAATTTGTATCAATAAATTTCTTTTAAATTTAATGAATTTTACGTTTAGGAATATTATTATTGATAAAAGTTACCTGTTAAAGCTAAATCGAGAGTCTCTTCTAAGACTTACAATTAGACAATAGATTAAACTGGGAAAAAGTTATGTATCAACTAGGATCTTTTATGGAATCTTATGTCGGTGTGCATCTTAATTTAGGTATAGACAAGAGCTTTTAAACTCCAGAAACGAGCTACGAGAAATATAGTTTATGCGGATAGATTAAAATCGTATAGAAACACTTTTAAAAAATTATAATTCCTCACAGTGCTATAATTATATATAGCACAATGAAATTTTATTATATTCCAAAAGTAATTTTCGGAACTTTAAAAAGAAATTATTTCTGCCATTATTATCATACCTGTTGTGATAATGGTTTGGCAGTTCCATCTCAAACATAGACAACTTTTAGAATAAAGCCCATCTTTTATGGGAATTAAGATTTATAAAAAATTGCCAGTACATTTAAAATATTTTTAGCTACGAAAAAAACAATAAACTTATAAAGGAATATACCTAACGATTATTGTTTAAATACAAATATACCTATCATTTCACATTTTATAGGTATCATGGAATTTTTCTCACAATTATTTCATATTTTGGGCACCTAATGATTATTTTTCAGAGCATACTTTCCAAATTTTTTAATTTCGGCCCATGAAAATGTTTATTTTGTTAATTTTATAAAAATACTACTTACAACTTATAAAATTGTTTTTTCGGCCTTATTTTTTTAAATTGATGTTAAACAGTTTTTATGATTTCATATACTGATTCAGCAGGACGTTTTACATTTTATCTCATTGAAACACTTTAACAACAAAGAGGTATATTTCATTATAAGGACAATTATTAATCTGTACAGAATAGTCACTTTCTCATGAATGACTAGTACAGATACAAATAATATTTATCATTTCTTATTTGTCTATTGGAATACTTACGCAGATACATTCTATACGAAATTAGTATTCAATTAGTCGTTAGTCATGATTAGTGAATACACTGATCTTTAGTCTAGATTATGATTAATTAGTTATTGGTCACCATATCTATGAATAATGATTAATCAATAGTCACGACTAAATACATGAATGACTAAGTTTAGTCTTGACTTATTAATCGACTAAACACTGATTAAAATAATCTTTAACATTTTATGTTTTGTCATTTAGATATTTCTCATAAAATTCCAGGTGTAGATTTGAACATAAATCATCTTAAAAAAGGAAATAACAAAGCAAAAAATAAAAATTTTCCACAGTTTAGACAATGTGAATATCTGGACTCAAAACCAAGATGAATAAAATAGAAGAAAATGTTGAAAATATATAAAATCAGACACGGAAAGAACGCAGCAATTTTAATCTAGCAGGCTCCACCTCCTTGATTAATCTTTGTCTTAAGAACCGACCCACAGGATAAGGAAAAAAATACTTACAGTGCTGAACACCCAGCAAGAACCGCAGGATCCTTAACTCTTGACTTCGGTGACGGCTCCCTTGGAAACCCAATTCACTTCTGCGGGAACTCCGAGATCACTGTTTTTGTGTCAAACGATGGGTTCTTTCTGAACAGGTTTTTGAGAAGTGCTATAGTTCAACATAGCCTTGAATTCTTCTGGGGTTTTGTCTGTAAATTGATTGATACCCATGTAGTACAACGACTCTCCATTTTGATATTTCTCGTTATGTGATTCGACAATTTAGTAAGCGAAAGCAGTGATATAGGTGTCTCTTTAGTTTTACACGTACCTTGAATTCCTGCCACAACTGTTGGTCGGCGTTAATTGCCAAACCAAAGGAAGCGAGAACAACCAAGAACCTCATTTTGCTTTTTCTGGAAGAAATGATCGATATTCAATCATTTATTAACGTTACAATTAAAATTATAACAATGGGCGTATTTCAACATTTCCGAAGTTCTGTTCCTATCAAGACCAATTGATAAAAGTTACTTATCTTTCGAACAACAACAATGAGTACTGAAAAGGTACCCTAATCTTGCCCTCATATATTACCAATTTATATCTCTACGACCTTCAATCGAGTGATATAAACGTAGTTTATTGGTTATCGACAAAAACATTTTCCTGTGGAAGATGTTATCTCTTTGTCAAGGATCGTGAGTGAAAAAAATTATAAAAAATTGTAGTTAAGTGACATTAGTAAACATAACGTCCATAAAAAATAAAATTTTGAGGAACGTTACTTCTCAGTCATTTGCCTAGCGATATGAAGACAAGTTTATACTTTCATTCTTCTTGACGTAGGACATTGTATTACAATAGTTGGGATTATATAAGTTATAATATATTTTCAAAAAAATTCATATTTTTTATTGGTTTTATATTACATTTTTCTAAGTTTCTACACTGATTCATATAATTACTTAAGTATCTTACAGTAAGTATGTATTCCTTACTTTTTAAAACAATGCTCTGTTTTTTATTAAATTAAAGATAACAGATAGGTGCTTATTTGATATTCACTGTGGTTGCTAGTTATTTGCAGATACAGTTTTTATATTTATTTTCCTGAGGACCTAGTACTTTGTAGTAAACACAGCTAAATATTTTAGAAAATTGTATAGCCCTTGATATCCTGCGTCACTGATTACTAAAAACATTATTTGATAAACCAGAATTACAGTTTTATATATGTATTAGAACTAATCTAATGTATCAAATATCAATACACTGTCACTTACTGTTCTTGTTACACAGGGTGTTTCGCGTAAAAAGTTATTACTTTATTTTATGGGGAATTTAATTCTAAAATTTTTCTTACTTTTCAGTCAGTGCAAATTGTATGTTATTTGTGTTGTTAAGTTGTTTGTTTCTCTATTAAATTATTCTTATTCCAACTTTTTTCCTGGTCCTGGTTCCAGATACGAAATTTTACAAAATTAACTAGAACTAGTCGAAAGATATTAAAGAAAATGTTATTTTTCTCTCAACTTCAACACCCTGTATCTTGAAAGCTAAGCGTTTATGAGCAACATTGTATATGACTTTCCCATTAATTTTCGTCGTAGAATCAAGTTGTAAAGTTTGGTCCATTCTTTAACGGACACCCTGTATAAGAATCCTATGATTTCCTTTACGGCGCAAGCAACTACTTTTTTTTGAGCCCGTGTAAGTTATAAAGTTCCACAAATGTTCCTGGACGATAAAAAGTTTTATACTTAAAATCAGTACTTTTTACAAAAAAAAAACAACTGAAGGATCTAACAAAGTAACGTAAGTGACTAGAAGTTGTCTGTGTTGTAGCCTCTATAAAAATGTACTTTAGTACGGTTATTGATTGTGCAATAGTCAAAAAAGTTAAGTATAATTAACTTCAAGAACATCTTAAATAAATCATTCTTAACATAATAATCGGTGCAAATTTATTCTAATCGTATATCACCAAGTTTTTGAGAGAAAATAGTATGGAGAATTTATAAATTCTGTCAATCTTTGATAGTTTTGCAATTTTCCTTTTTTTTTCGTAAGTTTATTCAATAGGTACTGAGGAAGCATAAAAACATCAAATCACATGCACATACTTATTTTATTCGCTAAAATGCATCTACAAAAACATTTTACAAAACGGGGTAAGACGCATAGGTAGCAATAGCGCACTGGTTGTTCTTGTTGCGAGCCATCCTGATGTATCCACTCTCTCCCCAGTCAGTGCCCCAGGAATTCTTGACCAGCCAGTAGTCTGCGCCGTTCTCGCTTCCGTACCCAACTGCGAGGGCTCCATGGTCCATCTGATCATCACAAGCGCTGTCATCAAAGAGACCACCTTGGTAGTACATCATGTAGTCGGCGTTGATGTCTACAGAGACTGGACCAATATTGGCTGAAGAAAAAAGTACATTAAATACCAAACAAAGAACTAAATTGCTTGGTTACAAGTCCCAAACATGAACTTGTACTTAGAACTATTGTACGTTCTTTTAGTTCTCCCTAAATCATCCCAACAAAACTTTCAGATCTAGCACAATGTCTTACTTACCAACAGCATCTAACAAAGCATCCTCATCCTTCTCTGGAATAGTCACGTGGCTGGAGATAGTGACCACGCTCTTAGATTCACTATACTGACATGCCTGATTAACGGCTTGGTAAGGGTAGTCCGCTTCTGATTCTATTCCATTCTCTCTAACGTAGTCGAATGCGGTTTGCATCCATCCCCCGTCGCAACCCCAGTTGGCGGTGGCGCAATCCATTAAGTTTTGTTCGCTGAGACTGACCAAGTTGCCCGTGCTGATAGCGTGGGCTCCTTCCAAAGCTCCGCTCTAAAAAAAAATTATGAGTTATTGATATTTTGCTAAAGAATTTGCTGGAAATGTCGAACCTACAATAGAATGGTTGCTATGAATTTGGTCAAACTTTGATGATGATTTTAACAACTGAAAGGAACTAGTATTTGTTGAAATTGAAGAATAATATTAATTTTATACATCTTTGATCGCACGCGTGTGAGTATTTTGACTTAAACGTTTCAAATTCGGTTAAAAAATCTCACGCGTGCATGCTGGTCATTTACGTTAACTTTTACTGCTGCTTGCGCATTTATTACATGAGCTAAAACTTTCGGAAAATAAAAGTTTAACCTTTCTTTAATTGTCTCTAAAATCCCAGTCAGATACGTCCAATAGTTAATTAATTAATAACAACTAACATTATATATATATATATAAAAAAAAGGTATCGTGTGAAGAAAAATTTCAATTTTTTTAAATTAAAATTAATTACCATAGAAATAAGCTATTTTTAAGCAAAAAGAGCGAATTCCCGAGCGGCATTTGCCTGGTTCTGGGACAATTTGTTTATAACGCTGTTTTGCATGTCCTACTTTGTTAGTCGTAAAGTGCTAATTAAATTCAACTTTTTGAAATTTTTCTTTTTCGACACGTTTCAATGTACAGGGTGGGCAAATCAGCGAGGTAAGCGGCTGTATCTCAGAAACTAATGATCGTAGAGAGCTACGGTAAAAAATTTTATAGGTAAAGTGGGCAAGGGAAAATGCTGGAAATTATTTTCAAGTTTCCAAGATGGCCGCCAGTGGGCGTTTCCACCATCTTGAATTACATAAAGTTACGTTTCTCGCGATTTTCCCCAATGAATGTAACAAAAAAGTATTTGCGTTTTAATGTTAACTTAAAGTCGAATATTTTTTGTAAAAACAATTTTTCTCTATCTTTCGAAATAAAGTGGTGGGGGGTATTTGAATGTTGTTTTAAATAAATGCCTGTAACTTCGAAACGGCTTAATGGATTTGGATAAATTTGGTATCATTGAAAAGAGCATTTCTTGGGCTTTTAGGTTTCTCGTAATCATGACAGTTGCGACCTACACGGCCGCCGATAGAGGGCGTTATTCGATATTATAACCAAAATATTGGATTTTCTCAAAAAATTTAAATGCGATGATATGACTTTTTTTAGACTAGAAAATAGACAAATGACCAACCAATAAGCCTGCGCAAACCGCATCTTAATATCTTTTTCCTAACTCAAATTATTAAAAAAAATACTAAACCAGGAAAATTCATATATCCCCATTTAAAAATGCATCGGTTGCTTTCGATAAGAAGGCAAGTAGTAGGCCATGGACACGACAATCGCCTAACAAAAATATTGCCAAGTAACGTCAAACTTTTGTCACACGCAGCCTAATATTGTTGATTGCGTATAATTTGAGTACTTTTTAATCAAAATGCCTCTCACAAATAATGAAGCCGTTGACATGATTGCGATTTATTTCGAGTGTTTTCAAAATGCAGCTATAGCTGCAAGACAGTACGCGGCACGGTATCCAGATCGCCGTCATTACGGGAGAAGAATGTTTCCGCGCTTGGTACAGCGATTACGCGATACTGGAAGTTTTCGTCGTCCTAAACGTCGCAGGCGTCGCAATGGAAGGACCGAAGAAAACATTATCAATGTCTTGGCTTACATAGAATTTGATAGACATGTAGGAACTAGAACATTGTCTCTAGACTTGGGAATAGCACGAACAACTGTTAGAAATATTTTGAAAGATTATAGGTAAATAATTTTATCTTATTCCAAGTATCTTAGCACATACTCTCAAATACACAATTCAGTGTTATTCTGATTATATTATTTTTACGCATATGTTGTTTTTTACTTTTAGATTACATCCTTACCACATAGTTTTGCACCAGGCGCTAAATGAACAAGATTTCGATAATAGATTAAATTATTGTCAATGGATGCTAGGCATGCTTGAGGAAAACAGAAATTTCTTAACGGAAATTCTCTGGACCGACGAGGCTACCTTTAGTAGTGATGGTAGAGTAAACCGTCATAATATGCATTATTGGTCCGCTGAAAATCCGCATTGGTTAAGAGAAGTGCAGCACCAGGGACGCTGGAGCCTAAATGTGTGGTGCGGTATCATTGGGGACAGAATTATTGGACCTTATTTTTTTGATCAAGCTTTAACTGGTAACCGCTTCTTAGAGTTTTTGATCAACGACTTGCCAATTTTGTTGGAAGATGTGCCACTCGAAACTAGGAGAACTATGTTTCTGCAATTAGATGGTTGTCCGGCACATTATTCAATTAATGTCCGAAACCATATTAACGGGACCTTTCGAGAACGCTGGATAGGAAGGGGAAGCCTATTTCCTTGGCCGGCAAGATCTCCGGACTTGACATGTCTTGATTTTTACTTGTGGGGACGCTTAAAAGACATTGTTTTTCAAACTCCACCAACAACACGAATGGATATGGAAAACAGAATTCGAAACTCAATTCGTCAACTATCAGCGGTAGAAATCGAGGCTGCGGTTCTGTCGACTCAAGAAAGACTGGAACAATGTGTGGAATATGACGGAAGGCAATTTGAACACAGAAGGCATTAATCTTTTTTCAAAATCGGTCCTTTTCAGGACCACAACTTTATTTAAAAGGAAAATCGCTTATAAATACGAAAACGTGCGACTTAAAATCACAGCACTAAATAAACTGACATTTCTTGTGAATATTTTAGAGAGGAGTTTGTCTTTTATTTCCATGGCCTACTACTTGCCTTCTTATCGAAAGCAACCGATGCATTTTTAAATGGGGATATATGAATTTTCCTGGTTTAGTATTTTTTTTTAATAATTTGAGTTAGGAAAAAGATATTAAGATGCGGTTTGCGCAGGCTTATTGGTTGGTCATTTGTCTATTTTCTAGTCTAAAAAAAGTCATATCATCGCATTTAAATTTTTTGAGAAAATCCAATATTTTGGTTATAATATCGAATAACGCCCTCTATCGGCGGCCGTGTAGGTCGCAACTGTCATGATTACGAGAAACCTAAAAGCCCAAGAAATGCTCTTTTCAATGATACCAAATTTATCCAAATCCATTAAGCCGTTTCGAAGTTACAGGCATTTATTTAAAACAACATTCAAATACCCCCCACCACTTTATTTCGAAAGATAGAGAAAAATTGTTTTTACAAAAAATGTTCGACTTTAAGTTAACATTAAAACGCAAATACTTTTTTGTTACATTCATTGGGGAAAATCGCGAGAAACGTAACTTTATGTAATTCAAGATGGTGGAAACGCCCACTGGCGGCCATCTTGGAAACTTGAAAATAATTTCCAGCATTTTCCCTTGCCCACTTTACCTATAAAATTTTTTACCGTAGCTCTCTACGATCACTAGTTTCTGAGATACAGCCGCTTACCTCGCTTATTTGCCCACCCTGTACAATAAAATGTCTAATAATTTTTTCAAGTTTTCAGGTTTTGTGATCTAATTCGACTGGGTATTACTTTTTTATAACTTACAGCGCTAAACGCCCAACAAGAGCCGCAGTCTCCTTGATTCTTAACCTCGGTGACGACTCCTTTGGGTATCCAACTGAAGCTGGAAGGAGCTTCTAAGCCGGTTTTCACATGCCAAACGGTAGGTTGTGTACGAGGTGCTCTCATTGAGGCACTCGTGTTCAATTTAGCTTTGAATTCAGCCGGGGTAATGTCTGTGAATTGGTTAATTCCCATGAAGTACGAAGATTCCCCTTTGGCGTATTTCACATTGTGTGTCTCGATGACGCGCAAGTTGCTTTGGAAGATGGAGAAACGTTTCTGTTCTTCCCTCAGGTTTCTGTAGTCACGTCCATAGTTTCGCTAGAAATTAAACTTTTTTGTATATCTAATGCATTAATTTTCAGGTTTTATAGTTAAGTTAGTGTTTAACTCAACCTAGCATTGACAGAACAACAGAGTAAAACACTTAAGTGACTTTGGATGACCTCTTTTGTTAAAAGTAGAAAAAAAAAATTTTTTATCCTATACTGAAAGAAAAAAACGATCAACTAAATATTTATTCAAATCATGTAGGTATACTCTTATAAATTTTTGAAGCGCCAAATTTTGCAAATTAAAGTTTATTTTATTATCCCCATTTTATTAATGCAGTACTAAAATTATTTATCATTTTTGCACCTGTTTCAACTGTGTATCTAGGCGCGCTTTCACGGTATGAGTTCCGGTTCTACTTACCTTGAATTCCTGCCACAACTCTTTGTCAGTAGCAGCAGCAATCGCCGCAATAAGAGACACCAGCACGATCAAGAATTTCATTATGATTTTTCTAGAAAAAGAATTTTAAATGCTTAGCTGTACCCAATACAAAATGGGAGAATTAAAAGAAAAACAAAAATAAATGGGAAATGTTATCGTTATTAGCTTTTACTATACTAGATACTGTATTAAAATTAAAAATTTTCTCTTACCTTTCGAACAACACAATGAACAATGAACTGAAAATCGTCGAAATATCTGACTTTTATATTACATGTTAATTCGTATCATAAGATCTAGGAATTTGCAATTATAAGATTCAGATGTTGTTCAGCGGTTATCAACAAATATTCCTTTTAATCAAATTCCATATTATCGAAAAGGAAAATGTACGAGTGGCAAGTCCTGAAACGTAGTTTGTTCAGTGAAACCATAAAGGAACAACAAGAAGAATTTTATTTTTTTGTAATAGTTCTTATAAAAGAACAGTTTATTACTTATTATTTTGTTTCTATTACCAAATAAATTGTTTTGGAAAATGTTATAATTATTTCAAGTTTGAGAGATTTGAAAAAAAAAAACAATTTTTTGTCAACTTTGGTCCCCTCTAGCGAATAAATTAAGCAATTTAGAATAGAGGAAATTTTAGTTACACACACAAAAAAGTAAATACTTGAAATGAACCTAATCAGCTTGTATTGAGTAATTCCTAGTCTCATATATCCGCAAGAAGATATTTATTTGAAATGAAAAATATATATTCTTGTTTGTAGCAAAAGATATTCTTCATTTAATAGCGCCATAGTTCAAAATAAAACTAAATGCATCATTTCAAATAATTTCCANATGAGAACTATTTTACATTAAATAATTCATTAAATTCAGACAACAACAAGTTTGTTCTTAAGTGTCATTATTATTTTAAGAATTAGTAGATACTCTGATTAGAGATGTGCTACAGAATACTTAATTAAATTTTTGATAACGTGACTCTCATTCATTTTTCAAGCAGTTTTTAACTGTACAACAAAATTGAAGTTCGTCATGGTGATTCGTATTTTCTAAACAAGCAAAAACTTTTATCGAGAATGCCTTTTTTTGCGTACCTTTCACTTTTTGGTGCATTTGTCCTCCTGTAAACTCAAGCCGTGGACATACTATTTACATAAATGACAATTTCACTCATCACTCATCAGTTCAATATTTTATTATTGTAGATATTGTTAAATCGGAGACGAAATAAAAAAGTTAAATGTTTATTCTGTTATCTGTTACATTGCAATTAATCTAATATATTTTACACAACAGGGTAAGACGCGTAACTAGCGATAGCGCATTGGTTGTTCTTGTTGCGGGACATCTTGATGTAACCATTCTCTCCCCACGCGGTACCCCAAGAGTTCTTGACCAACCAGTAGTCTGCGCCGTTCTCGTTTCCGTAACCCACTGCGAGGGCTCCATGGTTCATCTGTTCATCACAAGCGGTGTCATCATAGACGCCACCTTGATAGGACATCATGGTGTCGGCCCTTATGTCTACAGCCACCGGACCAATATTCGCTGAAGGAAAAACACATTAAACATAAAATAATTTAAGTTCCACTTTTGCGTTGATGCAAACTATTGGTTGAATTTGAAATTTAAACTATTAATAAATCTCCACAATGAAAGAGAGTCTGACTTACCAACAGCATCTAGCAAAGCATTCTCATCTCTCTCTGGAATAGTCACGTGGCTTGAAATCGTGAACACGCTCTTAGATTCACTGTACTGGCATGCCTGATTAACGGCTTGGTAAGGGTAGTCCCCTTCTGATTCTATTCCATTCTCTCTGACGTAATCGAAGGCGTTTTGCATCCACCCCCCGTCACAACCTCCGTTGGTGGTGACACAATCAACAAGGTTTTGTTCGCTGAAGCTGACCAAGTTGCCTGTACTTATGGCATGAGCTCCTTCCAGAGCTCCACTCTAGAATTAATGGTTAATCTTGATAAACCGACTACTGACTAGTTTCAATATGAATTGATATAATTTTTTTACTTTTTTATTGCTTTAATGTGACTTACAGCGCTGAATGCCCAACAGGAACCGCAATCTCCTTGGTTTTTAACTCCAGTGACAACTCCCTGAGGTATCCAGCTGAAGGAAGCTGGAGCTTTGACACCGGATGTTACATGCCAGGTGGTTGGTTGTGTACGAATTGGTTTTATTGAAGCGCTGGTATTCAATCGGGCTTTGAATTCAGCTGGGGTAATGTCTGTGAATTGGTTGATTCCCATGTAGTACGAAGATTCTCCGTTGGCGTATTTCTCATTGTGTGCTTCGATGGCGCGCAAGTTGCTTTGGAAGATGGAGAAACGTTTTTCTTCTTCCCTCAGGTTTCTGTAGTCTCGTCCAAAGTTTTGCTAGAAATTTAATTACTTGTTGCATGTCTAATTCCTGACATTTTTCAGATTTTATTTTATGCTTAATGTAGCACTGGAAGGACAAACAAACAAATATTGGATACGTTAATTCTTTCATTTCATGATGAATGAGCAAAAATTACAAGTAAAATATTTTTAAAGTCGTATTTACTCCTATATTATCAGATAACATTTGTTTATCTTAAGGGGGGCGTTTTTATGCGCAATTTTCAATGAATTTTTTGTCCAATTGTTTAAAAAATCTAAGCAAGTAAGAAACAATATCACTTCACTGTACTACTCAAACAAGTGTTCTTCAGGGTGTGAGATAACTGACAACACATTTTAAGTAAGAAAAAAAACATATTTTTTTATCTTACGTTTCCTGAACTTTACACGACTGTTGAACATACAGATAAAAGCGTACGGTATTATAAACATACCCACACCCAGCAGAATGCTTTTAGGATACTATTTATACATGAATTAATAAGAATTATTGAGTAGTTTTATAAATCAATTGGACAAAACAGGAAAGGTACGTGTTCTGATATTTTATATTATCCGTCATCTTTTCATGCCGAGCAATTGAAGAAATCCTTCGTATTTCAAC